CGTGTGAAGAACAGTACTATTTTACAAAAGAATGCTATCAGTACATGGGAATCACCTATAAATGCCAACAGAACGTAAAACCAATGTGTAAACGAACGGCTACGGAACTGCAATCCAACATAACCGACTAACATAGACGAAAATGACCTTTGAGCGTCTCACTCCATCAATGACCTTGAGCATGCGGGATAATTTCAGCCAAATTTTATGGCTCTGGCGACTAATTCGTTTCCTTAGGATTTCTGTGAGAGCACCTACTCTGATGCTGGCTAGCGCGGTGCATTCTTCATTTCTCATACACAAGTTATGAGCTTGCGAGATGGAGCTAAGAGTACTAAGTATTGACCGTAGTGTACTAAAGTCGTGTCGCCTGAAGTAACTTGTTGACAGTCTTTTCAGTTTCCTACGATCCTTTGGCTTTATGAATGTCTTTCTATGTGGGGAAAACTTTAGTGTTGGAAATGGGATGACAGCATCTAAGCATGTGTTGGAGTTATAGTAAAAGATGTCTAGAGCTTCCGAGAGGCTATCAGTATAGAAGTACTCACTCCATTCTGAGGATCTTAGCATTGATTTTACTAGAGTCCAGTCTGCCTTACTGTAGTTCCTGTAAGTTATTTGTTGTGAAGTAGCGGTATGGGTTGCATTGCTACTTGACGGAAGTGGCAGTGCACACAGCACTGTTTTGTGGTCACTCCCTGAAAACTCAGAACCTACTAGGGTAGAAAGGGGACTTATATTGTGGCAGAAGATTAAGTCTAGTACGTTATTACCTCTTGTAGGGGTTGTGACAGTCTGCTTCCAGCCAAGTATATCCAGTGTGCCTAAGAACTTATCAAGTTTAGTTGGACCTGTGGGTATTTCCCAGTTGATTTCTGGTAAGTTAAAGTCTCCACATAGGATCTTATGATCGTAGTGTAGGGTGGATAATTGTTCTAGAGTATTAATAAGTTGGGTCTCGTAATTACTAAAGGTGCCAGGTGCTCTGTAGGTGCATCCAATTAATACTATTGCGTTATTTAAGTGTAAGTTAACCCATAAAGTCTCAGGCATGTTAAGTGTACTACTTTCCAGCTGTGATACAGTAAGTGTATTCAGAAAGTACATGAGACAACCCCCTCCCTTGCCACCTTCCCTGTCACACCGAAAGTGTGTGTAGTTATCTAAGCTTATCTCTTCATCCAGTATGTTCCAATTACACCAGGATTCAGTGATGACAATTATAGGGGGTTTGAATATTACTGTGAGTGCTCTGAGCATTGGTAGTTTATTTAAAACAGATCTAGCATTTATGAGGATCAGGTAAAGATGAGATTTGAAATAGCATTTGAAGTATTTAAGTTCGTCAATCAGCCCCGAATATGGTTCAGCACCCAGTATTACTGTTTGACATGACGACCCTATGTTAAGAGGAGTTTCAATATCATGCTCATCCATGTCTAACGAGTTGGTGTGTGCTGTTTTCGGTGAAGAATTAAGCGTTGGAGTAGTGGATTTGTTATAGGCTACGGCATTTTTATTTTTAGTTAAGCTGGAAACATGGGTAGAGATCTTTATTTGACCCAAACTTGTGCATGTATCAGGTGTGCTTAATGGACTAGACTGTTTCTATATTCATGCAAAGGGGTCGCCAGCACTAGCGGTTTAGGAGTGTTGGCATCCCTACCAGCTGTTTTTTCAACGCTGACAGGGACGCAGGGGATAAAAAATGATTGGGACCTTGTGAAGACCATGGTTTATTATTCCACCTATTGTTGGGTACTAGTTGTGCCCTTTTAAGGGTTTCGTGTGTACTGCTTTGTGGGTTAGTTCCCAGCGGACTTGTACCATATATCCGATCAAAATTTATTTGTGTGCCATACTGTGAATGCCCTGAGTTGTTGGTGGTCGAGTTCTGACTATTGTCACTTGTACTCTTGAGGGTGGCATTGTTTTGGCGTTGGTTATCAGTGTAGGCCATGGTGCTATTTCGCACGTTGTGGGTGCCAATACTATCGACCGTGGGGAATGTGGGCTCACTTATACTGCCATTGTTGTTGTTGGCATGATTTGGGGTCATATTCTCCCTTTTTCACCAATGGACTTATGGACAGGAGAGGACATGGTCGACTTTCGGGGGATTTTGACGTTTTTTCCGGGATTATTTGGTGACATGTCTATATCTACGGTGATAGGCGGTATAGTTTTATTGGCTATTTGATTACAATTTAGTGGCCTTGCGGTTGGTGTCTCTCTCTGAGAGGATAATTCTGTGTAGTTTGAGAGGGGTGGTGCGGTGGATTCTACGGTATCTCTCAAAGGGTTGGGTATAATTGCTGCATGCAATGTCCTATTGTTTATTCCACAGTTAGACTCAGTGTGATAATTATATACGCGCCTTTCTATGACGGTCTTGTCCACCGCAACCTTTACTAGTTTATAATTTCTGGCTTGCGATAGGGTGTGTTGGGAGTGGATAAATTTTCTGGCCTCAGCCGGTGTTTCGAACTGAAAACGAATAGGACAACACTTTTCATGTTGACTCTTCTTCAGCCTATAGCACTTAGTCTTGGAGTTGGGCATTTTCGCCTCACTGAGTAAGATGCGCTGTACCTTTTTTAGTGCCTCATTGTCCGGAACGTTGTAGACGATAGCATTTAGTTTAGCGTCCAGTCGTTTTGTTACTTCTGTAGTAACAAAGTTAATGAGGTTATCCACCTTAGATACCGATTCCGTGTCAAGTTTGTTAAGGTCTTCAGTTCTCATGAGGACAGTTAAAGGTGTCAGTTCACAGACCTGCGATCTGATATCGCTGATCTGATCTGATAATTTGGATATTTTGGTATTGGTTTCAGAAATTCCAGGATTTACTGACTTGTTTTTTATTTCCCTTAACTCGGCCTTAAGTTTTCCTATAGACAACTTTAGAAGTTCTATTTCTGAAGATAGTACTGAAACAGAGCTTGAAGGCTGGAATTTTTTTGGTTAACCATAACTATTTGATATGAGAGTTAATAGTTATAGGTATGGAGGTAGTAGAGTACTTGTGCAAGGATTACAACAAGATAAATTTTATGTAACGAATCACGCAAAAATGTAACGCAAACGTTGGACGTACCGCGTGATTCTATAAAGTGCATATTAGGCTGACGATGAGGGCCAAACTCCCAAATGATTACCCCGTTACATCACATTCTTAAATTTATATGGAGTACTGACACTGAAATGTTCAGAAATGGGCTATAGTACCACAAAATATGTTGCTATTCCTCTACTTAACAGAAGGAATTGTGATTCCAATATTTCGGACACACATAGAGCAGGCCACCGCTCCCTGTATAACACATGCTAGTGACCATCAGTGTTGGTGATCAACTAATTAGGTAAGCTATGGATCCATAGACACGATGGAGACTGTTGAACGAATATGATGCAAAAGATAATGGGAGGCTATGCCTCTAGCAAATCGCAGTTACTATGGGCTAATGTCAAGCTATTAGTTCATGCTGTGGGAAGAATGATTCTTAACTCTTACTCCTGTCATGTTTGTTGAGCATGGGGTAGGTGCGACAAACAAGATAGTAAGGATATTTGTGAGACTGCTGAACCACTATTCATCTGTGGGAATGACAGCGTCACCAGAATGTCAGTGAGCTGAAGAGATGAAATATCAAGTGGTTTTGGAGTGGCCAATATATAAACCGCAATCATCTGTGTGTTAGAAACATTTATTTCCCGATACAAATTTAAAACAAGTAATATAGGTTAATAAAGGAGGATTTAATGAATTCATCAAATTTCGGTAGAACTGTGTGTTAGCTGATTTATTCGTGAAGGTTAACTGCATCAGAAAACCATTATCATCACGGATGCATCAGCAAAGGTGGGTAGATTTCGAAAAATGCTACTGAAAACAACATAAATCCTCACTGCACAGTCACAGTTGTAATTAAATGAGAGTTTGGCACGACATATAACTCGAGAAGCTGGAACACATATTAATGTATATGCATTCAGCATTACTAGTACCGAAGAAGTCGTGATATTTGAGTAACTTTCTTTATTTGCTGTTATATGTCTTTAACGGTGTCGGTATTGATGATGATAATGTAAAATAAACGGGAATGTAAAGAATTCTAATTTATTATAGTTACCTTTTGTAAATACTATGCATATGTAGTATGAAAATCATTCACACCAGAGATTCGCTGTGTATTTATAACCACTGAAGGAAGCTGCCAAGAGCACAGTTTCGGAGAATTACGTGGAAACTTTTGATTGAGTTACATTATGTCACTCAGTTGTAATTATTCAAGGGGGAGATCCTAAAGATTATCCAAAAATTTATGAGGCAGCTGTGGGGATGACCGCGAAACTTTGTGAACTGTGAACAAAATGCTATCCATTTTGTTATGCCCCACAGAAACTTTCGTCATAGTAGAGTCAATCTAGTCCTACAGACAGCTGGTCGAGTAGAAGGAGATTTTATTTAGGCGGAATGTATGAGAGACCGCATCAGTTTACCTTCAGATGTAAGTATCAACCTGACAGACAATTACTTTTATGAGCTTATTCTTCTCCATACTTTAGTAAAGCTGTGATTGTATTAAGAATCGACATGTAAAGCAGAGGGGAAGCTTGGTGAACATTTATACTTCAAATAGCACACAGCTCTCGCCTGCCACATTAAAGTTAGGAATTAGCTTCTATCTTCAATTAATTCAAATGCCTTAGAGGGTTACGAAAATGAAGAGGTATGTTTTTGCTACATTTACGTCATCAGTATTAGAATTCGACATGTAGTTCACCAAATCGCACCAAAAGTTTCACCCTTGCATAAAATTAAACATTTCGGAAGACAGATTTTTACTTGCCACTGAATGTCATAAAATGCTTCACTTAATATTACTTGTATGACCTAACTGTAGACGCGCCGTGTTCGTATCCCAACTCATTGTTCGATGGGTTGAGTTTTTAAAATAGTCGTAACTGACTGGTCATCTAGTAACGAATGGACTAAAATGTTTTGTTGTATTCCAAATAATGTAGAGACTGTAAGGGTCATTACATTTTAATAGTTTTCTTTAGAGGCGAGTAAAAATTGACCGATATTCAATCGGGAACCCTATAGATTTTCGACATGTCGCACACATGGGAACTTCAGCACTTTATGAGGATGATGTAAGTTATTTTGTGAATTTTCAACAATTAAGCGTATGTTTTATGGTATTATACCTGTTTTGCTAGTCGCAAGCATAGATAGTTTGAGTTTCTCAGCGTCATCCTTAAATAATTGTTAAATTAAACAATTTTGAGAAAGTTCCTGGGAATAATGTGAAATTTCGGCATTATTGACAATCGTATTCGTTTTTTATAGGAGCCGGCAAGTTTGTGAGGTCCTGTCAATAAACCTCGTTTTCTAATAAGTATCTTCTCCTTCGGCCTCTGCTATAGTCTCATATACCTCTAATTTCAAGTATTACTAGTTAAACAAATTAGATAGTCCATTTTAGCTTTTACAGTTTTCTGAGTCATTAGCGCTTGTGATGCTGAAGTAGTAGGAAGATGTAGTGAAGCTGTTTCTCTAGAATTCAAAAAAGGGCATCTCATACGGCTTACCACCTAGTTCTCATATTTCATTGTACATCTACCATTCATCCGTATACTCAAAAGTATTTCCCCTTAAATCCATCTGAGGACATTTCATTAATGTTTAATTTTACAGTAATGCGACTGGTTTGTGGTAATTTGTAGAACCATACAATTGCAACTGTGAGTACAATAGGTTGTGTTCACAAACACGTTTTTTTTGTTGGACGTGGAGATGCCGTTAAATGCAGCTCTTCCATAATGTTAGCGTCGCCAGCTGCCTTTATTATTTAAAGCACTATATGGATGCATCTTTTTGTCACATGGGAAACGGATTATTATTTTCGTTCGAACCATTTACGTGTAATCTGATTAAAGGTCATCATGGAGATAAGTATGATTTTTTTGAGAATTAATTTACCACTACTAGTCACCCCTCGTATTAAATACGGGGTTTTTATTCTATACAACCTGTTACTCTCGTTCACTACTCTGCAGCATTTTACGTCTTTGGCATATAGTATGAAACTTTTTACTTTGAGTTCCTAGGAGTTCCATGTGATTTAGTTATACGGCTTTTTGTGTATGTGCATAGGGATAATCGTTATCTCCATCTGGTAGGTGACTATGAAAGGTGACAGCTGAGACTGGAAAACAGTCGTGTCTAACACTACATAGTTGATGTGTGCCTGATGAGGAAGCAGAACCTGTTTAGCGATAAATCATCCAGTCGTGGGGAGAGAAGTGTAGCTAAATTGCAAACAAAGAACATTAAACAACTATCTAGTTAGACATCTATAAAACACAAAATAATTGAGCAAAGAATATTCTTTTCGATAATTTCCTCTTCTGGCTCTGCTCCTGCGGAGCCAGTTACATAGGCCGTACAATTAGGCGTGTTTCTCGTCGAATTTCCGAACATCACCCTGTGTGGTTAAGTAAAGGACAAACAAAATCTATTCGTAGCGCTATTCTATCTCATCTTGTGGATAGAGAACACAAGATTGATGTTAACCAGGCTTTCAGGGTCATTTACCGCATACCGACAAATCTCAATTTCGCCTTAAGAGTTCGACTACTAAATATTGCTGAGGCTGTTGTGATCCACATCAAGAAGCCTAATTTGTGCATCCGAATGAAATTAGTTCAGACATTATCTTTACCTCGGCCATCTAGGTTTGAATGATCCTGAATTTTTGTGGAATTCTCATAATTTTAGTTGATATTCTATTTGCTACTATATCTTTATTAATATTATAATTTAAGCATCTTTAATTAACTGTAATTGCATTGTTCTTACTTTACAAATCGATATTATTTAAAAACACTAATATTGATATTGACTACTAATCTAGAATATTCTATGTATACATATATATATATATATATATATGTATATATAATTGTAGAGCTAGAAGAGGAAATTATCGAAAAGGATATTCTTTGCTCAATTATTTTGTGTTTTATAGGTATCTAGTTAGACTCCTAGTCAGTGTGCACCCGCGAAGTTCCTAAAGGTTGAGGGTAGAGATGTCAGGTTTCGAAGTGAGCAATTTCGAAGTTAATCTCATGAAAGTATTTTTTACCGTATAGACAAAGATAATAATAATGTAAAGCTTAATGTAATTTCGTCGACCAAAGTTTACTATATGTCAAATAAGTACAATAAGGGAAGATCAAAAAGAACAAGGAAACAAAAATGTTGACAGTAAAAAAATAGAAAACTTGAAGATAAAGGACACTAAGCGATAATATATATATATATTTGATAGTGTGGAAAATTCCCATATTATGAATTAAAAGTCAATCTGAACGAAGAATATTCTTTTCAATAATTTCTCTTCAGGTTCTTACAATTATAATATTTGTTGTCGTTACAATAAGGCCAGTTATGCGGCAGATACATTTTTAACGTAGAATAACAGATTAGTTATGGGGTGTCAAAATAAATAGTCGTATTTGTGTGACAAACGTGCTAGGCTGAATTCGATTACAAAATAATGTAAAACGGGAGACAATGGTGATTAATCATAATAGATTTGTAGAGTGGGGGGTAGGAAAATTGACAAGTCAGTTCAAGGTTATAAAAGGTGTCAGGTGAGTGGCTAGTACAAAGTGGTCTGTGTTAAACAGGAGATAGTAAGACTGCAATGGGAGGTTCATAATGAGATAACGAATATGTGAAATGAAACAGGTGGAGGCATATATTGAGAAAAGAGATAATATCACTAATAATAAGTCCGGATAGTATAAACGAAAAAAAAATTCTATAGTATTGAGAGAATGTTTGCATGAAGGGCATAAATTATGACGAATAATAATAATATTAATAATAATAATAATAATTGTAATAATAAGCAAAGGAAAAAAAGGCCAAGAGGGTTAAGGGGAAGGAGCACTCTTGGTGAGAAGAAGAATCATCAATCCAAGTTTGGCCACGGTAGGAACAGCGTCTGGACGTGTTCTTTTTGGATACAAAGTTCCGGTTTAGTCGATCTTATTGCAACAGCTTCAGCTATGTGTAGAAGACGTAAGCGAACTGTACGTGATAACGACTTCGGAATTCGGTATATAACCCTGAAAGCTGTGTTGACATCGATATGATGTCCAGTATCGACCAAGTGTGACAGGATCGAGCTTTTTATGCATTTAATTTCCCCTCTGCTGAACCAAGCTGGTAAATGTTCTCGAACCCGTAGACGAACCTGCCTAATCGTGCGCCCTATATAACTTGAACCACAGGAACAGTTGAAATGGTATATGCATGAAGAAGAGCTAAGATTAGGTAAAACATCTTTGAATTGCTGGGTGAACATTCGACGGCTACTGAAGGATAGACACAGACGTGCAGAGTAGAACGTTTTCTTGATCGCCCTGGTTAAACGTTGCGATAGAATCTCCGCAGGAGTATCTCCCTTGAATTGGAGACGTAAAACAGAGGCTTTTTCTCACAAACTGAAGAGAAATTATTGAAAAGAATATTCTTCGTTCAGATTGACTTTTAATGTATATATATATATATATATATATATATATATATATATATATATATAATGATTAGTTGCTTAGAGTGTATAGTCGAGAATGGCATTTTTGCTATTAAGCTGCGTGATTTATGTTATCCTTCATTCGTTTTGTTTTATTCATAGGTTTCCAACGCTCTGGGTCTCCTTGACCACCAATCTCTACCAGTGCACTTAAAGTTGATAGACTTACCCAAACTTTCGAACAACAATACTTCGTTGTCAGCGGGTGGTTTGGGCTCATCCAATATATGTATCAATTCAACAGTCCCGTTTGCTGCTACCAAACAATCACCAACATCGAATGAAACAAAACCGAGTAAAAGAAACTCTTTTTTGAATGCTACTTCTATGTCATCCACATCGCATGAAACAGGCCGTAACGTTATGCGCCACTCAACTCACCTGAGTAATCTGAATCCCTCAAGACCGCCGTGTTTAGATCTTAGTTTGCCTTTGCCTCCTCCTCCACCACCACCTCCCCCTGTAAATGCCACCAGTCTTTGTTCTATGATAAGATCATCGTAGGAAAAAGCAATCCGTCATATAAATTTCATGTTGTGTTCAAGCGAGCTTTCTTGATGAATGAGACTTCACTCTTGTTGTGGTCAGCTTAAAATACATAATTCATATAATTCAACTGAAAGCACCAGGTTAGTTACTTTTTGATGCTCGATTCCACTTGTGATTCTCAAAGTGTTTTGATGTGCTCTTTCTGCCTTTTTGAGCTTTAGTAAATCCTGAAAACCATTAATCCACTAATACAGCCAACGGCTGTAATCTGCATCGCATTGCTCTTCATATGCACGGAGTATTAATAGCAATCCACTGCGATATTTGACTGTCAAGATGTTTTAAAGTAATGGAGACAATAATTGATAGACAACTGATTATCACTGATAAAGGCTTGTAGGCTTTTATGTACATATGGCTAGATAGTATTATCTTTATTCTCCAGCTTATGAAACATTTACACATTGTAAGAATACTTTGTATGTGTGAATGAATTTTCCGCATGTTTGTCCACCCTCTTCCATTATATACTTCATAAATAGATTTCTTGTTCTATTATTTATTCTGTAACATAATAGATTTTTAAATTGTTATCTAGTCAACAACAATATTAGGAAATATGTTTTCCATAAGGTTTAGGATCAGTGTTATTTATTCGTACCTGATAAGTTGATGTTTGTTTGCTGCCCAAACGACTTAGTTTATTCAGTTGCATACACGAAAAGTTGCGTTTCCCAACTGAACAGCTGGAGGATATTCATCCGGTCCAGGTATACAGCACCACACGAAACATTGTCAACTAACTTCTATTTCACATCAATTTAGATTGATTATTTATTTTATCTGTTTGATCAGTGCTCACATTATAGACCTACTAATTTACGGTCTGAACATTTTAGATTTGTTTTTGATTAGTCTACGTAGTTGACTCTTTATCCAAATGGGTTGTGAGTTCTAATCCAGACCAATCCCTTCGAGCACGTGTGTGACAGAGTGTATACCTGTTTTTACAAATATTTGTCATTAAATTGGTGAATATAACTGCTTATTTGATCGTTTCTCGCGTCTGTTCGACGTAATGGATGTTGGAAACATTTATTTCCCGATACGAATTTAAAACAAGCAATAAAGGTTAATAAGGCAAGATTTAATGAATTCATCAAATTTCGGTAGAACTCGTCAGCTGAATACTCTACATACACGGATATATATACTTTTGAAATTACATTGGGAGATATAGGACTGATAAGTAAACAAACTACACTGAATTAGTCATGCAGAAAGACAGGTGCGAATGTTTTTCCAGGTCATGTTCGATTAGATAAGGGGAGAGAGAGTATGGGAGATCAAAATGAAGATAAATTGCATTACACTTCAATTACATCACTTAGATAAACAATTAGACATTAGAGAATTTAACAAGAATTGCAACCAGAGGGATGTCAATAGTACTAGGTATAATAACAATAATAATAATAGTGTTGAAATGAGATAAGATAATGCTACTGATAAAGGATCATTTTAAATGAATCAAGAATAATAATGATGAGAATAATAATAATAATAATAATAATAATAAGAGGTAGAATTATAAGTAAAACGTATTACCATGGTAAATTCAGAGTCACAACCATCTCCTTTTGTACACAGAGACCTGGTTTGTAAACTCGAATTGCATAAGCCTCTGCAATTGCAAGCATCTTCTTGTTTCTTTGTCTGCTGGATGTTAGCAACATCTCAACTGTACATAATGCTAAGATTATAAACTCAATTTTCACTGTAACACTGTCATGCTATTGTTAATTGGTTTACACTGTTAAAGCACTTTCGATTTTCATAGTAGTTGCTATTATCATCAACTCATCAACTGTCAATACTATCATGTTACTATGCGTCTCTTGCTTCCCGGATGGAATATAGGGCTTCATAACCACATCTGCGTCGGTGGCAAAGTGGTTAGGACGCTCGCCGACCATGCACACGGTCCGGGGTTCGATTCCCGGCCGACGCACTCCTTTACCTCGCTAAGCGAGAAATAATGCTGGTGAAGAGGAAAGGTTGGGCATGAGGCTAGCAACCCTATCCTGTAAAATAAACACTGCTACAGAAACTTCAAGCCACTAGCTTGAAGACCTATGTTCCACTGGGGGACGCGAAGAAAAAAAATAACCACATCTCCATTGCACTCTGTTCTCTGAAGTTACTTTCAGCTCACTCCACGACGGCCTGCAAGCTTTTATTTTTTCCCGTCTCTTCCCATTCGGCTTCTATTCGAGGGCCTGACATGTGATTTCACTTGATTATCTCCTAGTGTATGTCCAATCGTTCTCCATTTCCTTCTGCTTATTTGTCCGGCACTAGAGATTCTCTGCTATTTCGCTACCTTCCATAGTTCCCTGTTATTTATTCACTCTGATCAATCATCCAATCTTCAGTATTATAGAGCCGGCGAAGGCAACTGTTGATGAAAGTTTACAGCAAGCTGTTGGGAATGCCTTTGGTGTCTAGACCATGTAGAATCACTGAGTTGTTCCTTCTACTGTGTGCTGTAGATCTCCACACTGATTTTAGGCTGGTGAACGCCTGTCTTACTATCCCGATTCTGGCTTACTTTAACATCATCATCTTCGGTGCTACCTGTAGTTGATTTCATTTAGAGTTCTCCAATCGAAGGTGATTGATGCTTGTTGTTAGTCGAGTCGCGTGTCTTCATCACCTCTGTCTTCTCTATGTTCACCTAAAGTTGCATTTCCACCGTCTCTTCTGCCACTTTGTTGGTTTTTGTTTGTTAATCTTCAAGTTTGTGCGATACAAAGACATTAATCATTATTAACTTTCATAATACATCAACTGAATTATTCTCACTTATTATTTTGTATAGGTAATATACTTAATCTGATTCTTATTATCACTCTATTACTTCTAGATTAACGACGAATGAATCAATAAATATTTCTGGCTTATTTTAACGTCGTCATCTAGATGATTGTTTCTATTGTGCTTAATTCTCTTCCTGCTCTATCATCAATAATGTTGTCATCATTATTCAAAGGAAATAGATGTCCTATCTATATCACATCTATATATATACAAGTATATGCAGGAGTACAGCTATATTGATCACAATACATCTGAATATTTGTTTACGTATTTATGCTGAGCGCATTTAAACAAGTTGTTGCCTTTTCTGTTGTTCGCTTTACAATATCCATTAAATAGTGGACAGTATTTAACAACAATACTAATAGTAATAATAATTATAGCAATAATAATAATAGTCATCATATGAATTACTCTACTGAGCAGATCACTTCTCTCTCTCTCTCTTTATCTGTATTTAACAAACATAATCTCATCGTATTTACAAGTAATACACACCTACACCCAAAATACACTTTTGTCATAATCTCAATATTTTCACCGCTTAAAAATGCCTTTTGTAACACTGCATTCTGCACACTTCGACTACTGTAATATTTTGTTGTTGTTGTTGTTGTTGATATTCTAAGCTATACACAATTGATTTCGATTGCTTTTGTGGTGACTGTGTGTGTGTGTGTGCTTGCACGTGTTTTTCTGGTCATGGATGCATTCGGTGAGTACTAAATAAAATAGGTATCCCTTTAAATTTCATGTTTTTTTTTTGTTTTCCGCCTAAATTATTATTTTAATTTTACTGTACTGTACTGAAATGAAATGAAATCACTTTCTGAATTGTTATGTTTCATTATTGTTTATTTTGATATACTTTAATATACATATATATATATATTTTTTGTTTTCCATCTGCTTAGAATTGTTTCCTTAAAGTTTTCACACATTAAATATATTTTTATTTGCAAACACATACTTTTGTTTTGTTCACACTGAGTGATACAAAAAAGATGAGAGAATTTGATTTGATTCTAAGGCTTCAATAGCTACTACTGCTATTACTCTGTATAATAATGAGTCTTCTTTTATGGTGGATTATTGATTTTGTTTATTTAAAAAAAACACAAACTTGATACATTTTAGGCACATCAAGAGAGATGCACCATACCAATGAAATTGTTGTTTGATAGTTCATGCGAAGTCTGGCTGGAATGCTGTCCAGATTGACGGAGGTAGTTGTCTTAGCGCGGTTCACCCCCGAGCCTTTGACTTGAAGTTAGATCCATAAGACAGCGGAGTTACACTCCCATGGCTATAGATGACCAAAACAGGTTCGAACGCCATTTGATCCTTTTGGATTCTGGAGCTCATGTACAGTATATTGGTTGGGAATCAGGGTTTCCCACCAGTCCAGTTGTAAGCGCAGGACGTTCACTTTTGTGCGGAACACCCCTGTCCGCGTAAAGGCAGTGAATAGAACTAACCTGGTAGAGGCTATGAACGCGTGGCTACATAAGAGCACTTCGTGAGGAAGAACTGAGTCTACCCGCTATCGCCCGAACCAGACGTTTATGGAATGTGATTTTACGGTAAAAAAGATTAGTAGTTCAGGTCTCGATGTTTATGGTTGGATAATGGTGGCGCTACTAGTGTGATTAAATCTATGTAACTGTAGACGACGTCACGCATGCAGTCCAGTATCGAAGATACTATTTTGCCGGTAAGAATTATATTATTCCTCAAATCAACAGTGAGCTTATTTGGGATTTGAAATGTAGGTTTTAAACTATCTAGTTCAGCTGACTGATCATAACTACTCAGACTGATTTATATCAAGGTAGTATTGTACATCTTTCTCATATATTAGTGCGACTAAGCTAAAATTTGTGCACTAGGCAACAAACCATACCTTCATGTGGGGTTTAGTTATGCTAACTGGTCACTGACATCTTGATAGGCGGGGTTGGATTCAGTCAAGCGAAGTAATTTGATTGTTACTTAACTTAACTATAACATTCTATGGAAATTGTTGTACAGTAATGCGTAAGACTGTGTTTAGACGTGTGAATACCAATAAAATATTCAGACGTGTCTAAAAGAAGAATGCTTTCCAGATTCAAACACTTCAACCCACTTTATAT